TGCAGAGGATAATGTCAATTCAATACAAGATCCCAGACCATGTACACTTATCCATGGACTGCAAGCACCTCCTCTCCCGTATATTTGTTGCTAATCCAGTTAAGGTGTGCAAAGGCTATTATGAAGACCAATTTTTATTTATTTGTTTGTTTTTACAGTACTTCTCTATGCGAAACTTAATTTTCATATCATTTGAAGCTGTATGGTCCTATTTTTCGCAATTTTTATTGTTTTCTCTATCAATTTTAATAAGCCCGTAAGACAAATCTTGGTAACTATTCTCGTTTAGGACTCCGTGGTTCTTCATTGGTATCTTGGTGCTTCATTGTTTATGCTCACATCATCTCAGCCGAATCTCCGTTTGTTGGTCGTCACAAGTTTAAAAGCTTTTCACTCTCAATCATACTCATCATTCACCTGATTGTCTACTTTTATAATAAACATAACTTAGGATTGTATCTTCTCTTGTTGCGTAACGTTCTAGAAACATTCATCATCTTATTTTTACAGATAAATTGCAGATAACCTTTTTTACCTATACATGTAGTAGCATTTATCATTCTCAACTTGTTTATGTTCACATCATCTCAGATGAATCTCTCTTTGTTGGTTGTCACAAGTTTAAAGGATTTTCTCTCTCAAACATACTCATCATTCACCTGATTGTCTACTTGTTTTTAATAAACATTCCTTAGGATTGTACCTTCTCTTGTTGCCTAACATTTTAGAAACATTCATCATTTTATTTTTACGGATAAATTGCAGACAACCTCCTTTATCTATACATTCTCTACTGGTTTAATAGCACTTCTCATCCCGAGGTTTGCATTTTGAGAAGGATGTGTTGCACCCAACCCCCTCTTTCCAACATGTTGAGGGGTGATAATTGCTACTAAAACTATGAATACGGGTTAAATTGTAGATAGACCCCTTGTACTATCGCACAAACAGGGGTTCTATCTGCATATTAACTCTAGATAATGAGGGTATCTATACAGAAAGCAGTAATTGGTAACAGAAACTTCATTGGCTGACACTGGATTTTTCCCCTTCCTGAAGAGGATCAACATTAAGGAAATAAAGAGTCACCGTTGGTTCTTGAAGAACTTGCCAAGAGAGCTAACAGAAGAGGTACAAGCACTCTACTTCAAAAGGGACAACTCCGCTCCCACTTACTCCCTACAGAGCATCGACAACATTATGAACATCGTGAAGGAGGCGAGAAATCCTGCACCGTCGACGACACCCGTTCCAGGCTTTGGATGGACCGAGGATGAAGATGAAGCGGAGGGAGAAAACAAGGAAGGGAAAAATGAGGAAGAAGATGATGAAGACGAGTATGATAAGACAGTCAAAGAAGTTCATGCCAGTGGAGAATTCCAAATCAATAATGATTGTTAAATGTTATGTGAGTTACCTCATGAGGTGTGTTTTATCGCCATGTTGTAAAATGATCTACATTTTATGTGTTTTGTCCTCCATATATTTGTGTAGCAAGAACTCTGTTCCGTTGGTAATGTTAAAAGATTTGTTTATATTGATAGTCAGTTTTGATACTGATAATATTTTACATGTGTGGGCTTGTGATCCTGTCACAAAGAAAAGAGAGTATTGGTTTCTTTTGCTGCTAATAATTGGTTTTTTTACCTCTTCATCATGCATCTTTGCAATTTGAAACGTGCCAGTAACTTTGTTCTAAACCGGAGCAGACATTGGCCTATTGCAGAAACATGATAGCGCTGAAACTACAGTTGATTCTGAACGACATTTAAATAATGCTAATTAGATTCTGAATGACATTTAAATAATGCTAATTAAATTCTTTGTTCTATAAGCATCAAAATTATAACAACTCTTGCTATAATGAAGCTTCTTTGCCGAAAGAAAGGCATAATCCTACGTATGTTCCTCTAACCCCAACGAAGCTTCCGTGCTAAAATGGATATAACTGCACATTCTTGTACCTTACATCCATATTACGTATTTCACACACGTGGAAATATTTCATCTTTCAAAAGGACAATGATTACCAAGAATGATGTAGAACAAGGGGTGCACACATAGGGGCTAGCTAGTCACGAATACAAATACGACTACGGATATGCATTGATAAGGAAAATTCGTAACTATATACACTAAAATTGTACATGGATATGGATATGCGTGTATACAGGGACATAGCCAGAGCTTGCTTGCCCTGGGCAGCTGCCCAGGGCAAGAAACTCCGCCTCTCTCACGACCTGTTCCTCCTCCCCTCGCTTTAGGAAAAATTTACAAAATAGATCTATTTTGCTAAATATTTAACAAAATATAAATCTTTTTGGCCTGTTAGCAAAAAAGAGATTGATTTTGCTAAATAGACCATTCAAAACATACGAGACTAGTAGTCCCGTATGATTTAATCCCCCATTAAATCATACGGGACTACTAGTCACGTATGTTCGAATGGTCTGTTTTGTAAAATCAACCTCTTTTTGGGATGTTGACCAAAAGATGTCTATTTTGCTAAATATTTAGCAAAACGGTCTGTTTTGCTAAATATTTAGCAAAATAGGTCTATTTTACAAATTTTTTCAATTCGTAACTATGTACACTAAAATTGTACATGAATATGGATATGCGTGTAGGCAGGGGCATACCCAGAGCTTACTTGCCCTGGGCAGCTGCCCAGGGCAAGAAACTCCGCCTCTCTCACGACCTCTCCCTCCTCCCCTCGCTTCCCCTCCTCTCCCGCCACTTCACATCCCTCTCCCGCAGATCCAACCTCCTCTCCCTCCTCTTCCAGGACCTCCATCTCAACAATCCCTAGCCCTCCTCTCTCTCCCACGTCTCCCTCCTCTCCCTCACGACATACTCGTAGACCACCTTTATTTTTCACACAGGGCAAAAAATAATCTTGGCTACGCCACTACGTGCAGATATGTAAGCGCATATGCATGTGATACAAAATGGATATGGAAAAAAAAAAGATAACATTGAAGGAAAAAAAACTATGCATTAGATTTTGTCCATCGTCAGCTGAAGGGTCCAAGAGCTGTTGCCTGTTGGCCCTCGATTTAGAGCAAAATATAAGGTGAACGAACAGGATTTTGTTGAGAAGGAAATGTCAATGATATCTGACCATTCATTGACAAATATATTGTATTAGTTGTATATTTGTTTAGTTGCCTTTTATACTTAGACTACCTAGAATAGATTAGCATGATTGTAGGCAATTTGTTCAGTTGCCTTTTATACTTAGACTACCTAGAATAGATTAGCATGATTGTAGGAAATCTCTTGTATAAAGCTACGTCTCCTGATTCAATAAAATTTATTCAAAGGCAATATTATTTTCCTTCTTTACATGGTATCAGAGCAGGGAACGATACCCTAGCTCTCTGCCCTCTTTCTTTTTGCCTTTCTTTTTTGCTGTTTCTCGTTATCATGACGGAACAACAACCTTCGAATGGAGGCAAGCTTGATGCTGCCAGTCCATATTTTCTTCACCATTCTGATCATCCAGGAATGGTGCTTGTTTCCAAACCCCTCAATGGGGATAGTTATTCGACATCGTGTAGAGCCATGACGATTTCTTTGAACGCCAAATCCAAGTTGGGTTTCATAGACGGGACCACCATAATGTCGTCTGCCACAACCAAACCAGACGAATATGCTTCATGGAAAAAATGCAACGATATGATCCTCTCTTGGATTCTCAATTCACTAACACAGGACCTTGCAGACAATGTCATTTTTTCGACCACCGCCCAAGAGGTATGGGAAGACCTTCAGGATCGTTTTTCTCAAAGCAATGCCCCTCGTATTTTTTAGATTGAGAGGGATATTGCTTTTCTTGCTCAAGATCAGATGACTGTTGCAGCTTATTACACAAGGCTAAAAAAATTATGGGATGAACTAGGATCCTATAATGACACTGTTTGCTATTGTGGGGCAGACCATAAGAGACGTAGATTGATGCAATTTCTCATGGGACTCAATGAGTCCTATAGTGCAATCCGAGGGCAGATTTTGTTGATGAATCCGCTACCTGATGTTGCCATAGCTTACTCTTCCATTGTACAAGACGAGAAGCAGCGAAGCCTGGGGGCTGCACGTGAGACGACGGAGAACTCAGCCATGGTTGTTCGAAGAGCTGAACCGGTGGCTCTGGTTGTTCGACATGGACAAGGTTCTTCTTCTCGTTCTAACCCATCTAATCGAAAACCTTTGCATTGCTCTTATTATGACAGTGACCATCATGTATGAGAAACATGCTGGAAGCTGAATGGGTACCCACCAGAACACCCCAAACATGCATCAAACAAGTCTAATCAAGGAAGCACTCATTTAAAGCGAAACAATAACCATCAATCTTTAGCCAACAATGACAAGGAAAGTCCAGTAATGCAGGAAGTGCTGTTGGTGACAAATGGGCTCTCTGATTTGCAAATCCAGAAAATCTTATCTATCATGCAGGGTAAAGGGACAACACAATCCAACAATCCTAAAGCTAATGCTGCTGCCTCAGGTTTGTTACAAACATTGTTGCACCTCCATCGATTAATTATCGATAGTGGTGCAACAGACCACATTACTTCATCTCCAACTTTGCTTGTCAACAACAATAAGAACACCTTTTTGCCACCGATTGCTATGGCAAGTGGAGAACAGGCTACGATTACATCCATTGGAAATTTATCTTTGAATTCTGCTGTTACTTTAAAAAAGTGCTTGGTGTGCCATCTTATAAGGTGGATTTAATGTCTATGAGTCGAGTTACCAGAGATCTCAACTGTTCAGTAACCTTTTTCCCTCGTTGGTGTATTTTGCAGGACTTGCTGACGAGGACGATGATTGGTTTGGGTGAACAACGAGACGGACTTTATTACTTAGTTGCGTTAGCATCAGAGAAGCCAAAACCTCAAACTCCATCCACAGCAGCCACTTCTTGTCGTTCACCCAGTTCTCAGGTCACCTCCTCCACCGCTTTGTGGCATCGCCGTTTGGGACATTTGTCTTCCTCTAGATTAGATTTTATGGCAAAACATTTATTAAATTTTCCTTTCTAGTCTAATAATGCTTGTGATGTTTGTGCACTTGCAAAACAAAGTCGACTTCCATTTTCTGTTAGTTCAATTTCGTCTGTTAGACCTTTTGAATTAATTCATTGTGACATTTGGGACTTCCATTTTCTGTTAGTTCAATTTCGTCTGTTAGACCTTTTGAATTAATTCATTGTGACATTTGGGGCCCCTATAAAATTGCCTCTCTTTCTGGTGCGAAATATTTTTTGACTATTGTGGATGATTATTCTAGATTCACATGGGTATTTTTTATGCATCACAAAAATGAAACACAACATTTACTTGTCAATTTTTTTCATTTGTCCAAACACAATTCCATGTATCTATAGCCAACATGAAACACAACATTTACTTGTCAATTTTTTTCATTTGTCCAAACACAATTCCATGTATCTATAGCCAACATTCGGGTTGATAATGGTGGAGAATTCTGTCCAAACACAATTCCATGTATCTATAGCCAACATTCGGGTTGATAATGGTGGAGAATTCTTCTCTATGCAGGAATTTTTTAAACAAAAAGGGACCACTTATCAACATTCTTGTGTTTATACCCCTCAACAAAATGGGGTTGTAGATTGCAAGCACCGCCATATTCTTGAGTCCGCTAGAGCTTTTCATTTTCAAGCCCACCTTCCTTTAAATTTTTGGGCAGAATGTGTTTCTACTGTTGTTCATATAATTAATCGTTTTCCCACACCACTCCTTTCTCGCCAAACTCCTTTTGAACGACTTTATGGAAAGCTTCCTTCTTATTCTCATATCCGAGTTTTTAGGTGTCTTGTCTATGCTACTGATGTGCACGTCCCCCATAAATTTGATCCTTGATCCAAACGATGTATTTTTCTTGGCTATCCAGTTGGTCAAAAAGCTTACAAGCTCTATGACCTTGACACCCCTATCCAGTTGGTCAAAAAGCTTACAAGCTCTATGACCTTGACACCCACCAAATGTTCACTAGCCGTGATGTTGTTTTTCATGAAACTATTTTCCTGACACCCACCAAATGTTCACTAGCCGTGATGTTGTTTTTCATGAAACTATTTTCCCTTATGAGTCCATTCCATCCCCTTCCTCAAATTCAGACCCTGTGATTCCTCTTTCTATATCTGATCCTTCCCCACCAGTTTAACAACCCTTACCACCAGAACCAATTTCTCCCATCCAACAACCCTCACCACCGAATCCAATTTCTACTCAGCCATCACCTGCTAGTCCTCCCGAACCCATTTTACGTCGTTCCCAAAGACCTCATCACCCTCCCATGGCTTTACGTGATTATGTTTGCAACCAAGTAACGTCTCCTAACAATTTGCGGCCTTTGTCATCAAGTCCACAAAAAGGTACACGATATCCCCTTTGCAATTTTGTCTCTTATCATCGTTACTCACCACAACATCGCTCTTTTACTGCTGTTGTTAGTCAAGATACTGAGCCTACATCTTATGCCGAAGTAGCTTTTCATTCCCATTGGTAAGAAG